GGGTTGGAAGGAAGGGATAGGGTTCGGTACGGAAGACAAAGAGTTAATGAAAAGTAGGGATATCTGAGCAGTAGCGCACTTATCACTACCCACCCTGCTTGATACAATAGGCAGCGCATTCTTGATTATCGTGCGCGACGACTGATGCAGTATGGGATTACTTTTTGGTTGTGTATGCATTTGAGTTTGATGGACGGGTACTGTCAGGGTGTGCAACCACTAAGCAGGAGGACGATTAGGGCTCTCGCCCAAAGTCTTTAGTGCTGACAAGGCAGAGGGTTTAGCGAACTAGAGTCCCACTTACTTGGATCAATTACTCGTCTACCGTTTTACCCACTGAGACGCTAACTCGAGTCCTGGAGGACCAGGACTTTGGGGGACCTCTACCCATTGACCTTCCAGGCATAATTAGATCTGCGGCTTGACAAAAGCCATCCCATATAGCTCGTTGAGTCATACAGGTGCATGGACCATCACACCACGTCAAGGTGCATTCTCGTCGTGATGGATGTCATACACTTCATTTTATGATATTCGAAACATTGAGATCTATCAATTTTTGGGTGTTGGAAAGGAGAACATCAGCCTCAGTTGTTCTTGCCACTGTCAGGAAATTTTGAGCTTTGGCGTATCGACTGATTTGTTCGGTTAAGTTCAGCTGTCATCAGACACATAGATACCGGAGCTTTTAGATGGTCCTTGTCGGTGGATCACCGAAAAGAAGAGACGATCGGAATTCTACTAAAGCTCGTTGTGATTATTTATTTCGCGTGGAGGGGAGAGAACAAATAATTTTGCTGGTTCAATGTTTTTGAGACTGCAGTAAATGAAACTGGGATGAAAGCTACAACCTTTGTTCCCGGAGTTTGGACCAAACAGGTATGGACTTAAAGCGCGTTTTTGTGTATGAGATACAATTGTTCTTAGGGCAGGTGGGATACTTTACACAGACACTGTACCGATCAGTCGTGCAGTGCGCAATTGACGCGTAGATAAGAACCCCGAACTACACTGGGAACCCGTTCTTGCCATTGTATCTCCCGTCACAAACGTGGGGTCGATCGCACAGTTCGTTCCTATCAGGAATTTTTCACACGACTTAGCAGCTGATGTACTGGAGTTGCCCACGAAATAGCCAAATTCTGAAACATAACAAGTCGAAATCTCAGTTTCACTACTACAGACAACCAGTGCTTGAAAATTACAGACCATTAGCGCAAAGTTCTGTATAGCTTGAGTCAAGGTCGATGCACAAGCGCGTACACATCCAGTCTCCCTCCGGTTCGTGAACGCGCGTGTGCATCTAAGCTTTGACTGCGGCGTAGATAGCAATGAAATGTTCTGGGGACAGCATAATGAAAGTGGCCGACACCGATAATCAATCCTGGACGAGGGTAACCGTTGGAGAACGATACAATGGTTCCCTTGGTGTCGGGATCGGAATGCACAGCAGTTCATTTTGTAATCGAGGGTATGAATGAGCCTGGAGACAAACCAACGAAATGACCTTTAAGCTCATGTGATGCTATGTCGTTACCCCTTCTCGAGTACGACTAATTATCACCAGACACAGGTTGCCCGATTGATAATGTCTACCAAATGGATTGATCTGATTGATTGAAACACGAAGTAGGATTTTGCAAAAAAACGAATAAGCTTTCGATAAGTGGTAGTGCACAGAATTTGTCAGGTCACGCATCGACCCGCGTCACACCACACACACCGGAGTTTCAAGGTACGGATCTGATTGGTACGTCACTACGTCGTTTCTCGTACGCCCAATTTACCACATATATTTGCGTATTGCGTCATGATCAATAGCACACGTTGACCGTCATTTTCTCAGCCGTGTTCTCTCTCCGTTGTTGGGGCTAGTCCAGCGGTGCTCATATCGGTCATATCTTGGCAAGACATAACAGTTTGGCATGACTAAACTGCGACATTTTTCTTAGCAGCCCGCTAAAAGTACAATGGACAGGAGCTCTTTGGATAAAGGTCTTAGCAACGAGAATATTCCTCTCTGGTGGTTGACAGTTTGAAGGAAACCCAGAGAGAGAGAGAGAGAGGGAGATGGTGGCGCTTGTGTATGCACTAAAGCTGGGATCTTTTTGCGCTCGATTGTTGACCAATTAAGCTTTAGATGAGAATAGACGAGCCTCAACTTCAGGTGACGTACAAGCTCGACTGCTCTACTAGGTGGTAATGTGGCGGGCAGTTATTTGAGATTACGTTAGACTACTGGGTGAAATGAAGCGTGAGCAGGCGAGAGGATATACTCTAAATGTTTAGCCGTCAAAGAGCAATCACAAGGAAAAGTAATCAGAACAAACAACAGAATATGCAGCGAAATTTATTACAAAAGATAACATGTCTGTGGCGGACCGGTCTATGTTTCTTACATGATATCATTGAAAACGGCTTTTTTAGTTGCACCGACGAGAAATGCAAAGTCCTGGGCGAAAGAAAATATCAACATTCACCGGAAGTGTGCAGTAAACAATTTTTGCTCACACAACACCGATTGATAACCTAGCCTCAGCCAAGATGCTTTGTTCTCGCAAATGATAATCGGCCGGGAGACCAACTTTGGTCATCGCCATCAGCTGATTTTGCAAATCGTCTAGCACGCTGACCTGATTTTCGTCGACCGTCGGTTCGCAGTTCGTACTGACTCCAGCGATCAGGAAAGCTGAGATCACATACGCGCAGACCGTGGCCATCTCTGTGCGCACGACCCTAGAAGAAACAGCAAAGACGGTGAGTGAACAAACTTAATGAATAAATAACCACCATTGTCGAGCAAAAACAAACATTTCCAGCTATTCCATTTTAGCTCAGTCAGTTCGCACGGGATTCTCAATGAATGTGGTTAAGTATGGACTCGGAAACCACTAGGTTTGAGTTTCATTCACATTAGAGTTCATCCGGACAACGATCCGTCCAGTCCCGTATTGAAAGCGTGCATTACCATTGTGCCGAACAGCTCACACAGAGCGTGATCAGAATGGATAATTCATGTATGTTCAAAGGGAAGTTCGTTAAATATGAACCTCATTACGCGCTGCACCTTCTACTAATCTCGATTTTTTTTAAAATAAACCGTGGATATTCTTTTACCACAATATTTACATGTAAAGGCTACACTTTTCTGGCCCTGCTAAATCAAGTTCTGTAAAATTCGGCGGTATAACAGTCGTTACAACGGCGATGGCTTAGGCCATCTAGGAAAAGTAAATTGATTTCCAGACGTATCATGCACAAGTAGTGGAAATTAAAGCGATTCTAACTTATAATTTTAACAGTTGAAAACATCTGATATAATATAACAGTGAGCGCGCCCTTTGACTGGTTGGGCTACACTGCCGTGCTCTTTGTCACTTTGGATTTCATCGCGTTTGATTTGCCTCGCCCTACAATCACCAATGGATCAGGAGCAGCCTGCCAGTTTTAACTTTCCGGGCAACAGACCAAAGGCCAGACGAACTCGGTATCGTCCTGGCCTTGAGGGAGGAGGGAGAAAACCAACGGCGCAATCGTAGACACCAGCATAACGCTAGACCTGATTGAGAGACGGGTACCAATTGTAGCAGCAGCAACCTGTAAAAAGTCAACGCAAACGGTGACGTTTGGGTCATACCACGAGCAACTCTAACCAGGACCGATCGACCGTTTCGCTAAAAGTCGAATACTCCCCAAAGGCCAAAATGACAGGGAAAGGCACAGTTTTCCCTTCAGAATTGATTATTTCCTCCTTTTTTCTTATTTTTGTGAAATTTGAATTCACAAACATTCGCGCCAGAAAAGCCTCGTTTTACATCACCGGATATGCTCATCACTGACTGGTCAGTTTCCTCAAAACTTAGAATTTTTCAGTTATCACAGATGGCCGTCTCCGAAAATGTATGAAAACTGATGAGTTATCAAGCACAATCACCTGTGGATTAAGTCAAATATTTCATTCTTTGTCAGGATTTTCCTTTCAGCATCTACAATCTTGCATTACCATTCATCTGAATATCCCTGAAACCTATTTGGCCCGATTGCTAGGCAGCAGAAGACAGGTCGTTATTGAATTACATCCGAGTTTGGTTGCATAAATCCAACTTAAGCGACAGTTTTCACGTTGCATATCTTCTGAATTCTTAACATTATTTCAGTGAGACCACCACTGCATATTTTTTTACCGAAATGCAAGCATAAAAGGTAACATAAGTTATAAAGATACAAACAGCATCATTATAAGGCTTCTGTGATTCACAGACGATATACGTTCTAAACACGTGAGACAGAGAAGTCATTGTTAGCCTTTTCTGCCTTGAGTGAGAGGACGAAAAGCCAACATCAGGGGCATCTCCCCTGGAGGAGTTAGCTAAAAACCCCGATAGCAAACCCAGGTCGAAGAGGTATACGAACTACACAAGCAAACACCTTCCTGATTGTGGCGATGATCCCCGGTCCGATTAGTCATCGAGTTGTATTGGGCACCTTTGACGTTTGACTCCATCCAGAGGGCATATGAATTGAGTAACTGGATACCGGCCCCCCAATGGATTGCGGTTTTAATGCACCTCCAGCTGCCTTACAGGTCAGGCTTTGGCTACTCGAAGATTCCGGTTGTGAATCCCACAATAAAACTTACCTGTTTTTGTCTGGGCAAACGGGCATGGAATTTTTCTTTTTTCATAAAGATTACTTGACCGGCATTGGTTTGGCACCCTGTTTGAACTGAGGTGTGTGCAAAACATAATAATATTAATAATAATAACAGAAGCCTTTTTCGAGACATGTGAGCAATGAACCAAGTAGAACTGAAAACAAAATATGAAGCGCAAAAATGCTGGTGGTTCAAACTCACTTGGCAGTCAAGTTAGGCGTGACCATGTACTGCAGCTGTTCAGTGAAGGTGGCCAACTGAGATCGAAGTGAACTGAGGGTTGAAGCCAACTGATCTTGCATTCCTGCTACCGTCACCATTTCTGCATTATCTACATTATCATCATCATCGTCCGCATCGCTTTCACTGGGTCCGCGCAACTCAGCTCTAGTCCCGGACAAGGTACGTGTCTGGCACAACCGTGCAAGTAGTTCGGTCAGACCGAGAATGTCACTGTACATCAGGTACAAACCCACACCTAAATCCGAGAAGAATGGGAAGATGGACCAGACACAAACAGTTTTCTGTAATACCGCAATCGATAAACTATTACCTGAATGTTACACCTTTGGTTTTTAGATCTTGGTAACAAAGTAATATTACAAGAAAAGTACGATAAGAACTACAAAAGCGGAAGGATAAAACTACTTAGAAAAGCGGAAGAACATTGAGAGAAAATGTAACAAATTCAGCATATTTTGTTACGAAACAACTGGTTTTCAGTAACAAACGAGGCAGAGTCCCAAGTAAAGCAGACAAAAGAGCGCAAAAATTCAATGATTTATGTCAACATGCGTATTGTCACATCCCAGAATAANGAATAAACTTCGTAATTCAGCCTGGAAACTCCGTGCTTTCCAAGAAGCAGATAGACCGAGCCGATGAATTTGCTGTGGAGGCTGTGCACATGACAATTATCCCAGAAGAAAACATGGAAATTTGAGCACTGGGCTGTTTAACCTGCTTCCCCAGAACATTATGTCGAATTTTGGTAGTGTGAATGTAAGAAACGGAAAACTCGCCAACATGCACATCATGAAATGACGTAAAAAACTAGCATCTGAAACCGCTGATAAATCGTTTCTAAAAGGTTCAACTGACTTACCATGAGCGAATCGTTTGGGCAACTTTGCGGACGGAAGAGCGTCGAATGGTTGTAACAGACGAGCCAGACGGTGACCTAGGCGACACAAAGACCACGAGACTCCAGGATCAGCGCTCAGCGAAGCTGAGGTATCTGAGTGTAAGACTAATTCAGGTAAAATATATTCCATGCAAACCGAATGTGCCATCTCGGTATGTCCAGCAGACAACCAATGAGAGGCTTCCAATGTGGCGAACAGGCGTGCGTTCAAACTATACTGGCGACTTTTGGGGCTGATTCGAGAGCCGAGGTGGCTCAATTCGACCAGTTGATTGCAGGCAGCAAATCGACGCCTGGCGAGAACGGCCTGATAGTGAAACAGAAAATAAATGTAGGGAGAAGTCAAGAGTGAGGCTATGTACAAAGTACCATGCTTCCTGGAATGAGGTAAAAGATCTCACAATTAGAAAACAAGAGAGGTCATCTATGATCAGAAAAGCAGTACTAAGGTGAACTGGTAGGAGAAGACTAAACGTTTTTGTATACTGAGGTGTATTGCTTTTTAAGGGGTGCACAACACATTTACAAAGGTATATGAAAGCAAAGGAATAGGTCAATGGAAGCATAAATCCAAACAAATTTTTGTCTGTTGATCCGTTTCTTTTGAGCCTGACGGTATCTGGTATATTATACGAGGTCAATACTGGCCTTTAGCATTCAGGTATGCAGCAAGTGAACGCGAAGGACCGGAAACGCTGCGAATTCCTGGTGTGTGGTTACTATCAAAATAATCTCAAAAAAACATTTGCGGTCTCCGGTGGTAGATGGTTACGTCGTCCTTCCGCTTAAAACAACATCTATCAGACTGGGGTCTTGTGTGATTTGCCACAGCCAATTTCAAGATTTAGGTTCACGGTTGCCATAATCAACTCCGTCAGTTCCGGATTATCAAGAAACAAATAGTTTGTAAGTGTTTTGAATAACACCGGTATCCTTTATTTTGATGTCAAATTGGTCATCTAGAAAATCATTCTTTTCTGTATTGGAACAAAATCACAGATGATATCATCAATGAGTAAAGTTGGAAAAAACAACAACAGTCATCGACTACCTTAGCTTCGTGAATCCATTGGACTGGAACACCCAGCTTTTCGACCACAAACCGCTCCGCTTTGGTTAGAGGAGGCGATGGGGACAAAACTAGTTGGTCCAAGACCTCGGTCGCGCAGTCCAACAGTATTGTCTGTTGATCATAGTTAGCTGATGTGTGTGATTGCTGCTGCTGCATTGCTGAAGACAGTAGACCCGGAGGCAACACCAGCGATACGTGGCGAGCTACGATAGACTTGACCGCTGTGTCCCGGCTTTGTTGATGAGGTTCATGAAGCCGGACGAACACGGCCCATTCCCATAAGCCAACAGCTTCCAGTTGAGAGGCGTATTCGGCACATATACGCGACTCGATAAGATCCGATTCGAAGTGACGATAGCCCAAGGCGACCAGCACACGCCAGAGCATCCAGCTGGGAGTCCAATCAATCAAACTAGCGGAATTTTTGCTACAAGTTGGTGTCTGATTAGTTGCATCCACATTGCGCCGGTGCACTCCGCATGGGTCCAGGGTGCGTTCCAATCGATGGGTGCGTTTGCAAAACAACTGAAGTAGGTGATAAGCTG